TGTATGGATTGTGATAAGAGTTGTATGTGCCCCTAATAAAATGATTAAACAAACAAACAAACAAATAAACTCAAACTCACTGCCATCAAGTTGATTCTGACTTATAGCCACCTTATGAGTGTCCTGTGAGTGGTGAGACTGTGACTCTTTACAGGAGCAGAAAGCCTCTCTTCAACCTCTGACCGACTACACACAAATAATGTGCTAAGACTCCCAATGTTGCTATGCTATGCCATGTCGCGATTTTATTAAAAGAACTCCTGTCTTTTAATAAGCAGCCATGGCTCTAAAATTAGTACTGTAACAGCAAATTGCAGAATGTTTACAGCTCCTTCCACAAAATTGTCTGAAATTAAATAGGAGAAAGCATTTTCCTCATTCATTCTAGAAATGGAAAAATCCAAGTGACCAAAAAGGTTGAAATTTTCCAAGGTTACTTGGCCAATCCATACTGTAACTATGTACTTCTCAAATTCAGTTCTAGCCACTGATGGTTGACGCAGTCAATACAATCAATCCTACCTGGGGAATGGATATGGAAGCTTTATGAGAATGAATTTTTAGTCCTAATCGTGTTTGTTGCCTTGTAGCATTATCACATGTATGGCAAACCTATAGCCCAGATAATTGAGTCTCAGATCTAGCTGTGCAAAAGAATCCTCTGGGGAGTCATTAATCCTACTTCAAATCAATTAAATCAAGAGAGTGGGGCACTGGAATTATGACCAGTTACATAATTTGAAGAACCTAGTGCAAAAGGCAAGGATGGGGAAACTTTCTCTCACATATTTGGACGTGTTGTCAGGAAAGACCTGTCCCTGGAGAAGGACATCACGCTTGACAAAGTAGAGAGGCAGCAAAACAGAGGAAGCCCCTCAAGGAGATGGGTTGGTACAGCAGCTAAGCATTGGAACCGTTTTGAGGATGCTTAGCAGTGGCCCATTCTGTTGTACATAGGGTCCCAATGAGTTGGAACCCCGGACCACACCCCACCACAAAAACAGTACCAAGAGAGGATCCCTGGTTATGTGTTGGGTTGCATGGAAATCATCAGCCACTCCGAGGGAGAAAGATGAGGCTTTCTCCTCTGACAAAGTGACTTGGAATCCCACAGCGGGCAGTTTTACCCTGTCCTATAGGGCCGCTGGTGTAGTGGTTATATGTTGAGCTGTTAACCATAAGGTCAGCAGTTCAAAGCCACCAGCCGTTCTGTAGGAGAAAGGCAGGGCTTTCTACTCCCATACAGAGTTAGAGTCTCAGAAACCCAGAGGAACAGTTCTATGCTTTCCTATAGGGATGCTATGACTCAGCACCGACTCAATGGCAGTGAAGGCAAAAAGAAAACCTGGAGTCCCGTACTCATAAAGTAATAACAATTTTAAGATGGCAAAAGCAGAGCTAAACCAAGCACAGCCCCTTCTGAGTCAAAGTTTGCACAGGCCATGTGTCCATGAAGCTGACCCCAAATGTGACATGTATTCTTTTTAAAGACAAGGTTGTGAGCAGGAGGCTTGATTGTACAATCTAAGCCTTAGCCTTATAAAACTATACCATTAGTTCACTGAATGGCTAATGATTTAAGCTGATTGACAACAGTACGACTTCAGGGAAACATGTAAGCATCATGAAGGCTAACTACTATGATAGTTAGAGGCTGACTTTCTGATACCGTATATTCTTGATCCACCGAGAGACTCTGGAGTGCTGAGGACTCCAAGGGTTCCCAGTGCTATCAGAATGGGAATAAGGGTCTTAGACTTCCTCCTTCTTCCTTCCAGCCCAGGCCGGTTGCTACCCAGAAAGTTGGTGATGTCAGTGTTTCCATTTCCAGTTTGTTCTGCAAAGAATCTGGAATACTTAACTACTTAAGATGTCCCAGATTCTTTCTAAAGTTAATTGCCACCTCTTAATGGTCATGGAACTACCTAAGGGGCAAGAGAGCATACAACCAGACAGGAAAGCTGGGAATGGGCCACAGCTGGTTGTGGAAGTCAAAGAGTCTGCTTGGAGAACCACATGTTCTCAGAATACATTGGCACTGGGAGCACTGGGAGGGGACCTGGTGGCACAGTGGTTACACTTGGCTACTAATTGAGTGGTTGGCAGTTCACAATGACTGCTACTGCACAGCAGAAGGAGGTGGCAGTGCGTCCACAAAGACTTATAGCTCTAGAAGCCTTACGCAGCAGTCCTACTCAGTCCCACAGGGTTGCTATTCGACAGAACAGACCCAATGGCAAGGGGGTTTGAACTGGGGGACCGGGCACTAGAGGTGAATGGAGCTAGATCTCCATGATCAACATCATGTAATCAATGGTGACAGTGACTGGGAAATATGACCAGTAGCATGATTCTTTGAGCAGCTCAGATGCCAGGCCATAAGCCACTCAGCACAAGGAAACAAAAGATGCAAGACACTAGAGGATTAAGGTACGCACATTGAAATGCACAAACACAATCGAGTTACCTGGTAACATATGATGAACAGGGGTGGCTACGTTGATGTCCTGGAGATGCTTAAGTGTTTCTGTGTGAAACAGGCGAAGTGTGGACCCAGATGTAAAGGCGATCCAAATTCCAACACCAGCAACTGCCATGTGAGAGATCACCATTCCCTCTTCTTGGTGAGCCTCAAGCTGACTCTGAGAAAATCAACGAGAAGGTAATGGATGGAGGTATCTGCCGAATATACTTATGACTCACAGCTCTGTATCACAAAGGCTGCTCAAATCGGTCCTTTAAACTACATCTTAGGGCTTCGTGCTGTGCCATTTGTCCTGGCCATGAAGTGCTCCAGTGGAATTGGAGAGCAATTCATCAGCAGGCGCTTCAATGCTTTATGATACAATTGAAACTACTACTGCAAGACCATAGACATTTCTGTGTAGGTGAGAAAATGGCATCAGCAGTAAGAACGTGTTATTTCCCAACAAGATCAAAGTACTCCATAGGACTCCAAAGATTGCAATGATCACAGTGCTCTTGTGAGCTGACATGCTCCAGCTTTGAAAACATAGGGCTATTCTAAGTATTCTCAGGACCCACATCCCACTGAAGGAGGACTGAAATAAGAGGGCTGTGTCCAAAAGTAAACACAAGACTACTGAGTCGGCTGGAAAAAGGAGGGAAACAAGAGGTAGGTGGGAGTGAGTAATGAGAATATCTGGGAACTAAGGAGGTCAATCATTTCCCATTTAATTCTGGGCATCTTTTGTTTTTCGACTTCACCAAAACCAAAATCATGCCCACTGCTATCATGTCGATGAATAGCGATCTTATATAAGGTTGCTATGGCTGTAAATCTTTACAAGAATAGACAGTCTTATCCGTCGTCAGTAGGGCAGCTAGTACATTTGAATTACCAACCTTAGGGTTAGCAGCCCAACAACTAGCCATTTTCCTTCCCAAATCTCCAGGTTCAGTTAAAGGCCAGTTCTTTATCTCTGGTCTACAGGAAACCCCCAGAATACTTTTGCCTGTGTCCCTTAGTTTGGCATCTGATGCCCCATCTGTTTTCTCAAGTGTATGTCACGGCAGGAGCTGTGCCGGATGCATTTGCTGTATCAGCACCTCACCTGCCACCAGGTCCATATGGTTGGTGCTTGGCAAGAAACGTCTGTTGCTGTTATCCCTGCCTCTTAGGGATTAGAAGCATGAGTGAAAGTGGGAGTGAATCTTAGAGAAACAGTACAAAGAAATGCCACCCTACATAAATTCTTGAAATTTGTAGCAGATGATCATATGAAATTCTCTAAATTGTAGCAGTGTAATTAAAAACCCCATAGGAAAATAAACAAAAAAGGAAATCTTTGACCTCAGAGCTGTTCCCTAATTTTTCAGAACCAGGAGGAAGACTGGTTACTGAGAAGATTGTGTTTCTTCATCTTTGACGTGCAGATTCTGGCGGTGTGGTGTGGAAATGACACATAAGGAGGCCCGAGGTGGGTGATCATTGACACACAAAGACACAGAGAACGGTCGCTGCTAATCCCGCTTCTCACCATTCATAGCTATCCTATCATTGGCCAGCTCTCCTGTGAGACTAAAAAAAAATTAAACCAATCTTTTTTATTTGTTTTATTAACAAAATGTGTTAAGATTTTTCTATTTCTTCACGTCTGTTTTGGCAGTTGCTGTCTTTCTAGTTATGTAAATTAACTAATTTGTTGGCATGCAATTTTTCCAATTTTCCCTTATCTTTTAATTATATCTGTAAGGTTGGTAGTAATGCCTCTCTTCTCATTATTGATTTTGGTATTTTGAGTTTTATCTTTTTCTTGGTCAGTCTCAATGTGTATTTCTTAAACCTCACTGACCTATTTGCCTTCTCTTACATTAAACTCTAATGACTATCTTGCTTCTAAAAAACGCATTCTTAATTTGTTCTCGATGCTGCTCCATTCTCCTGGTCTGATACTTTCCTTTCAAGGTCCTGTTCCTCAGGATTCTCTGCGATGTTGTAGGCTTTCCATACTACGTCCGTATCTTCCCTCCCTGGGCCCTCATTCTGCACACACTTGTCCACGCCCATGGCTTCAACAACAGCAGCTTATTGATGCACACACACAAGGGGACTTTTAAAAGTTTGTGAAATATATAGAATTAAAAGCTAATGGAGTTTTCTCTCTGATTTTTTGAAATATGTATGTATCAGACTATATATTCAACCGCCTAATGACTATCCCTCCTGGAAATACCACTTACACCTCCAAGTAAGGATACCAAGTGATCACTGCTCACTGTACATCACTGAGTCAGCAGCCTCTCATGTGTCGGTAAACAGTCCCACTCTCTTATCAGGCACAGAGGCCAGGGGTCTGAGAGCTGATTTGCTCTCATACTTCTACGCAGGAAGTATGAGAGAAGAGCATCTTCCATAGGATGAAGCCAAATAGCTTCCATGGCTGGCTACATACTGCAATCATCTGGGATATTTAAGTATGTATGTATGTATATTTTTATAGATATATATATACACACTGAATATATACCCTGGCCCTATCTTCTAGAGAACTGGATCCCCCCCGCCCCCCTTTTATGTAAGGTAGATCTCAGGTATGGATTTTCTCTTCTTTGTTTTCGGTTAATTCTATACTGTAATACAGCTTTTGCTTCCTGAATGATGTTAGGGCAGTGGTTTTCACACTTCACTGTTGATCACAATCTGGAAAACAACTAAACTTCGTTTCCTGGGCCCCAAATCAAGTTTGTGATTCAGTAGGTATGGATGGGGCTCCAAAATTAATATTCTGAAAATATCCCCATGAGACTGTAATGTTGCTGTTCCAGGGTCTACCCTTTCAAAACCAGTGCTTCGGGCAAGCTGGTTTATTTTCCCCTTTATTCTGGTTAATTCATCTTCATTTTAGCTATTCAGTCAGTAATACTGTTGGGCATCTCCTGAACAGTGCTTCCCAACTACCCTGTTTCCCCGAAAATAAGACAGTATCTTATATTAATTTTTGCTCCCAAGGATGCACTAGGTCTTATTTTCAGGGGATGTCTTATTTTTCCATGAAGAAGAATACGGTACACATTTATTGTTTACTGTTTTATTAAAAGAGACCTCGCACTTCCTGTCTGCTCTGGCTGAGCTGCGGCCAACAGTGAGCTGCGCTGAGGCGCCTGCCTCTAAGGTCCAGAGTCCAGTAGCTTCGGGGGGCCTTATTTTCGGGGGGATGCCTTATATTTCAGTGAGAGGCAAAACTGTAAGTAGGTCTTATTTTCAGGGATTTCAATTTCGGGGAGACAGGGTACCCTGGGAACATGCCCATCGCTGAAGCGAATGGGACAGCACACTACTACAACGGCTGACGTGTCTGTCATCTGCAGCTCAACTACTGTTCTTTACAAAATGCCTCCTTCAAGTCCACCTGGACCGCAGATCTGCCTCCTAACAATCTTACTGCTCCCTAAAGAGTCCACAGTCTCAGAAACCCATGAGGCAGTCCTACCCTGTCACTGTGAGTTGGAATTGACTCAAGGGCAGTAAGATTTTTTTGGAATTTTCCCTATAGCTGGAATCATCTTCATTTTCCTGATGTTCACCTGGAATAACTTTCCCAATTCATCTTCCAGTCTCCATTCTTTTACCTCTTTAAACTACTTGCAAAATAATAACCCAAGAACACACGTTTATTTTGTGCTTAAAATCCTTCAGTGGTTCCCCACTGCAAACAGCAATGGTAATGGTGGTGTTCTATAGAAAAGTATCATACAAGACCACTACCAGAAATAAAGTCAAATATCATTGCATTCAGTGGGAATGGGATAGCTCCAGCCCTGCCCACTGGACCTCCCCGTTGAATTCGGAGGTAGCCTCGGAGGAACACCCTCTGAATACTCTCAAGTGGCTCCTGGACAGACATGTGCTTCTCTGGACCAGTCTCACTTCCAACACTCTCTCAGCCCCCCTCTGTGTCCAGGCAAAGAAAAACTATTTGCATTTCCTTGGGGAATTTGCTTTCATCATCTTTACCCGTATTGCTCCTTCTCTTTGAAATGCGTTCCTCCCTATCTTCTTTAGTGAATTCCTACTAATCCTACACAGAGCTCGTTGAAGGTGTATACAGCTTGTGCACTTCCACATCACTACATGCTCACAAGTGCCCCGCATCTGAGTTAATGCTTTGCTGTCGCCAGCTTGACAAGCTTAGTAACTTTTGAATGAGGAGCTCATCACACTCTAGGGTTTCCGAGGCAGTACATCTTTCTGGGAGCACACGGCCCCATCTCTCTCCACAGAGCAGCTGGTGGTTAGCAGTCCAGCCAGTTATCCACTAAGTCACCAGGGTCCCTCGTCAAATTGCATAACCAGTTCTAATTCTAGTTATCAGCATGATGTGCCTCTCTGTGGGTCCTGGATGAGTTGTAGGCATTCCTCAACCTCTGCACAGTGCATTGTAACTATTCTGAAATTAAAGTCTACATCTTACTTATCTTTGTTGTTTTGCTGGGATTTCATTTTAACAATGCCAGGTACTTTGTAAATTCATGATGTTTCTGCTGGATTGTGAATTACATAAATATTGATTGTGTGATTCTGAAGGGGATCTGAAAGTAAACAAGTTCAGCATCTTGCCTCTGCTCTGTTAGCTTGTGCTGACTTTGTGCTCTCGGTTAAGCCTTCTAAAGAGTGCTAAGAATTCTTATGAGAAACATGCATTGACTTATAAAAATAATGTTGTTAATCGTCAGATTTTAGTATTTTATCTTTGGAATTCTGGTCTTCTTTTCTGTTTGATTAGTGGGCCCCTTCTCTTTCTCTTTTCTGCTCTTGTTCTGTTTTATTTGTGCAAGGGCATCGCATGCTGTAGAAAATCAAGAGCAGAAATAACAAGTTTTACTTTCCCACAGCTACAGGAGTTAAATTGAAATGAACTGTGAAATCCGTGGTTTTAAGGAACAAATCTGTGAGTTCAGCACCTGCCAGAAGTCGAGATAAATTATCCTTTTCCTAAATGTCAAATTTTTAGAGCTGTATTCACGTTTCTAATGCCCTAAATTTTTTAAAAAGAAATTAACAAACAAACCCATATGCAATTAGGCAATAAAACAGAAGAACACTGAATTAATAAAAATCTGAGTGTAATTTTCATTTATATAGGGCAGTTTCGCAGTTGAAACTATTGTCATCTGTGCCACCAAAGGCAAGCATGGACACTCGGCAACGCAGGGCGCTTTGTACAGTGTGCATCCTGGTTTTCAGTGCCAGGCCTGGGACTGGCGCCCAGGCCCATCCTCATCTTCTGATTGTATCACTGCTGACTCAGAGTAAAATCATTTATGGACATTTAAACTCTAGGTACACTGTTTCTTCCAACAGTGGCTTCAAAATGTACTCTGTGCCTTCCATCCCATGAGACTGAAGCCCAGCTGCGTGCCACACATCAACGGCCTCTCCCAGTGCGCAGCCTGGCTGGCCCTGTTACTATTTCAACAACATATCGGGCGCTTGGAGTCTTGCTTTGTGGCAGGGTGGAAATGTATCATGATTTTAGGTCTGGCGAGCTCCGCCAGTAGCTGAACTGTGGTTTTTCTTGGGCTACAGGAACTGTGTGATGCACTGCATCTCTCTCCCTCTCTTTCTTTTTCGCCGAAGAGAGCAGGTTCTTACTGAACCCTCGTTTATCGCGGTTAATCGGTTCTAGACCCTACCGTGACAAATGAAATTCCGCGAAGTAGGATTCCTTATTTGTAAATCAAATATTTTCGTAGTTAGAGCATAGAGGACATGAAAAAACACCCTTTAGTCACCATT